GCAGTTTTGCAATTTGGTTGGTAACTCGTTTACACGTGATCCAGACTGCCAATCGGTTTGAGGCCAGTCTGTTCGGTTTTTTGTCTCGATGCTATTCGGCAAAAGTGCTGCAACGGAAGCGTCTTTTGGAGTGTTCACAGTTTCCGATGGGGCACATAATTATCAGCATTCTTGCGCAAACCTATTTAACACTATATTCTTCTATTTTTCCATTGTTTAATTGTATAATAATGTTTGTTATTTAGCTGGTCTGTGAAAGCGGAAATTCCGTTAATAGCGATTGCACCTTATCGACACGATTAGGGCATCTGGTTGCTGCCGATGGACTCTATTCGATTGCACACTTGTCCCCATTCAACCGGCTGATTTCTCGACAGACGTTGAGCACGGCAGAAGCTAATCGCTCCTCTAAAAGCATGCATGCTACAGACTTGGGCCAGTCGAAACAGGTTGCCCGGAGGGTCATGCTTGTCGTGTACATCTACGGTTCGAATCCCGCCTGGAGTGCCGATGAGACCTGGGCGGGGTCGGAAGTGCAGACTGGGCTGGATGAAAACTGTATTGTGAGATGGCTTGCAGAGGCTAATACTTTACAGCTTCAGCCACTCTCATCATGGTAATGTATGCAGAGTTAGTGTGGCTATGCATGAAACCGTGACACACCGACAACATCTGCTTGTCTATTCCTTCCGAACGGTTTCCTGCTCTTTTGTAGACATACTGCCTCACCATCAAAGTTTGGCCCAACTCTTCTTGATCCCAGGTTTCCTATTCCAATCCTTTCTCACTTTTACAGACACGCTAATCTCTCTTTTTTTGCCAAATCCTCCTTTCGTGCATTCCCATCGCAATCTTTCCGTGAATTTCACTCTCCTCACAGTCCGGTGCCTTCAAAGGGGCCTCAACAGAAGTTGCATTGCAAATTCAGCTCCAGTGCAAGTCGCTATTTCTCTATCATCTAAAGAGTAGGCGAAACGAATGGGCGCTTAGATTTAATAATTAATGAGGGAAATTCATTTTGTTGGAATCGCATCCGTAGGCAATGCCTCTGTCACGCACTCACGTACAAGTCTGCCAGATCATTACACCCTAAACGCATTCATGCACCCGCCAGAGACTAGCCCGACCGGTCTTTCTCGTCGTCCCTTGCATAAGCAGCCCAGTTTCCCATTCACACTCTTGCCGCCAAAAGCTACTTTTAGCTTTCTCGTCTCTCTCAGTCGTCGACGGCCCTTTCGTTGTTGCCCCAATGTTGGTGCCTAACGCTCTACACGTTTAATCATGGCTTCGAGACTATCTTTAGATCAAAAAATACAAGTTTTCTCGTCGCTCTTGATTGTTTAAAGTGATGCAGAACTGGTAAGTGAAGTTTCCCCAACTAATGTAACTAGGCCTCATGTTTTCATTGAATTTCACTCAGCCTTGCCTCCCAAA